CAATGTAATCACAGAGCACATCTGCAATCTATGGCTCTAGGGAGGTAAACTCAACTCACGGCACAAATACCAGCTTGACCGGTTCCCAAAGAAGAGAACAGAGTGCTCACCCCTGCACACAAGACTACATGTGCATATTTCTTTCACACCAAATGGTATAATTTTAAAAATGGTTCATACTGGACAGTCACTAGGTCAGTGTGCTTTTTGCCAGGCAGTCCTATCAGGGCACCCTTGTGACCTGGTCTCAGACTTTAGGGTGACATTCTGTCATCTCTGGGTGACCACTGACAGGTGCTCTTTTTGCAGCTCTCCTCAGGCTTCTAATCTGGAGGGAACAAATGAATGTTCTCTACTTACCTTTCTATGTCTGAGACGCAGGTTAAGACTCTTGTGCATCAGCTGAGAGAGTGCACAGCATTAAGGCCACCGCCTACCTGGGGCTGAGGCAGTCATGAATAAATCTGTCATAGCCCACCTTACTCCTTGCAAAGCCTTTTCTGTGTTAGGTTTTTCTAAATCAGGAGCCCAAGCCCCACATTTCAAGCACTAACCTTTCAGTTTCTCGCCTAACACGGTCACGGCTTACCTGCGTGTCTATCCATCCTTTCTGCAGAGGAATTCCAAAAAGAACCCTTGGGAATTAACTAGGCTCTCTCAGCCGCCCTGCTTGCCCGAGTACCTACCAACCACGGTGGGCTCCAGGTCCACAAACACTGCTCTGGGCACATGCTTGCCAGCCCCGGTCTCGCTGAAGAACGTGTTGAACGAGTCGTCCCCACCGCCAATGGTTTTGTCACTCGGCATTTGCCCGTCAGGCTGAATGCCATGTTCAAGGCAGTATAATTCCCAGCAGGCATTGCCGATCTGGACACCGGCCTGTCCCACGTGGATAGAAATGCACTCGCGCTGGGAAACAGAACATACATGTGAGACCCATTCGTTTTCCAGACAATTGTCACTGTATGGCATGAAAATATAATTTGAGACATATATACGCGTCTCAATGTCTAAGGCTTTCTCAAATGTTATTTTCTACGAGGTTTGTGTGACCCACTTATCCCTGTGAAAACTGAGGTGCTAAACCACTTAGCTAAGTGCTGAAGTTAGTCCCAGAACCTACATGTCAAAATTAATTCTATTAAATCTCTACCCTGTGTACTGTGACAAAATGGAAAGCACATATAAAGTCCTTGTGCACACCCCAAAATACAGCTGTATTGGTAAAAGCACTTGTGTATTTGAGTTGCCAACTGTGAACTAGCTGCTTTTTTCATGGCCTGCTGTTTGTATCGGAAAGAAACAACAAACTGGCTGTTCAGACTTGGATATCTGTGATTTATGTGACCGTCTTGCTTGAAAGTAATAAACATTTTTACAG